AGTTGCACTCGCGATCAATTTTAATCACATAATGGCAAAACCACTATTGCGACAACAGGCATCGCGCCATTTTCTGTATCTACAATTCACACCACCACGTTGGTCGCAGTAGAAAAACATTCCAAAAGAAGTCCGCAGCTAACAGTGCCACGCCATGCACTCAACTCAGAAGCTAGGAGACGAAACTGTAAATGGAGCAAAAATGCACCGGCCACCGTCTGGCAAAAGCACACAAAAAATTGACATGGCTCACAACAGTGACCGTGGCTAGCCTTTATTGTGACCGGAAGAAACCTCAATACAGACAACAGCATAATCTGGTAAGGTAGAGCTGATAAACAGAATACTGAAGGAGTTGCGTTAATAATTAAAAAGGGGCTCAGCAGCACTCTTATATAATGAAAACCTGTAAGTGAACGCCTTTTGTATGCAAGGTTCAATTCTAGATTTGCAAAATGACCTGTCTTGGTCAGTTACGCACCAACATTATTTAAAATGACCAACAACGGAGAGAGATTACGTGACTTCAGCCAGTCGAATGACCTAATAATTGGAGGAACACTCTTCCCTCATAAAACAATTTATACCAAATGTACCTATGGAAAATGGAGGCACTCCCTGCAAGACGTCAGAGTACGTAGATCAGCGGATATTGGGAGTGACCATAATTTACTTATTGGAAAAATCAGGTTAAAACTCAGGAAAGCTAAAATAGGAGAACAAAAACTGCAGCGATATGATGCGGAGAATTGCAGGACACACATATCAAACAGCAGTTCAAAATAGAACTCAAAAACAGATTCAGGATTTCACAAGAAGAAACAGAAATAGTAATCGACAAATTTAATGAAGCCGATATGTAGCGGACTAGGAATTCTGCTAAGTTGCATTATTTCATTTTTAGTGGTATTTATTTTTATGTTATATCTTCTGCAAGTGGGACTTAGTTTGTTCAGATGTTTTTGCAGTCTATTATCCTCATTATAGAACAAGTACTGATTGTCTGCAAATAGTAGCTGGTTTATAGTGTGTGGATCTAGTTCTTATTCTGGAAAGTAAAGTTTCTCATTTTCTGGGTCCACTGCTTCAAAGCTGGCTTTTTTTATATTATGTCTATGTATATAGTGAAAAAGAGAGGAGAGAGCACACATCCCTACCTCACCCCTGTATTGATTGTAAACATATCAGACATGCCTTCTTTGTGTTCTCACTGAGCTTTGGGAAGTGTGGATCTAGCAAATGTCCTTATATCCCATAATCCTCAAGAATATCCCATAGTTTGTTTCTGTCTACTCTATCCAAAGCTTTTTCTTGACCTACAAACACACCATTCGGTTCACTGTCCTATTTAATTATTTTCTTCTGTTTAAACCAAGTATTTTAGTTTAAGAGAAGTGATGCTGTTTATGGGGCTAGTCCCTCTCGATGCTCACATTTTGAAGAATGTCGGTAAATTTTTTTTTAATGCACTATCTTCCTGTAGCATTTAAATTCAAAAGACGAGATTTTCGTTTTCAGTTGCAGGCGGAGTGCAGAGCATGGTTTAGACATAAACAAAAACTATGGTAATAAGCAATTGAAAAGAGCGGCCAACAGTAAACATCACGGTAAACGGAGAGCTTTTAGAACAAGTTACAAGTTTCTTTTATCTAGGACACGAAGTAATAGATGGAGGAAGAAGCGAAACATAAATCAGAAAGAGGATCAAGGCGGTGTCACCTCAAAGAGGAAAACCTAGCTTCGACGTGAGTCCACAACATAAGACCAGTGTTGCCACGTTGGATGTTTTACATCCAGATTTAGATGTTTTTCTTGCATTCAGATGGCGTTTTTGACGTTTAGATGGTTGATGTTTTTCTAGATGTTTTTCACTTGGAGCTAATTAATCACATCTAACCTAAGAAACAGGTGAAATTTGACCTCTTAAATGCTATCTTGACAATAAAATTCGGCCTGATAAGAGTAGGAAGAGGTTGTTCCGCTTATCAGCTCTGTGATTGGGTATTAGAAGAAATTGGAACAGCAGAGTCATTTTGGATCTGAAGCTTTAACTTCATCATCCAAGCCTAAGTTTATCCTGTAGATCTTGTGAGGCAGACTTCAGTAAAGATGGAGCATGATTCTATAGGGTAAGTCACATCAATTGCTTTGTAATTTGTGACTCTTTCCATTTGGATTTTTTCTAGATGTTTTCTGCGTAATTTAAATGTTTTTAGATATTTTTTGACTCCGTTTTGGATGTGTTTTTTTTTCATAGAATAGTGGCAACACTACATAAGACGCATTCGGCTCACGGGCCCGCTCCTGTGGTCACCGGTAGCCTCTTATAAACTCCACGGTTATGTGCCCTCCTTTAGGACACCTATAGCCGGCCATAATAATAAACACCTTGGTTATGTACCCACTCTTTGGGTCACATATAACCGGCCATAACTGACTAGAGACGTTGCACACAATGATACACCTCCACGACACGCAGTCGCGAGTCAGTCTCCAATTCGCTCAGGTACAGATCCTCGCAGTTGGTTCATAAGGAGATGTAGGGCTTTTAACCCCAATAATAACACTCAACTGGGGCATTCTGAATTTCTGAAAAGTAATTCTCCACCATCCAGTTTGGGCCTGCTGTCCGAAGTTTGCTTACATTTCGTTTTATATTTGTTTCGATTATTATATTAAAACAACGACTAAACATTTTCTGAATCAGCATTCCCTACTCCCAAATTTTGCTACAAGCCGCCACTGCGTGTGAATGCCTTTTTATCAACAGCAGTATGAAACCAGGAAACCAGATGTCAGAAAGCAAACATAACTATGAGTGCGAAAAGACAGATTAATAATAATAGCATATTCATTCCATCATTAAGCTACCAGTGCCAAACATGGACATTATTTGAAGCCCATATATGCAAAATCACCACCTGCGAGATGAGGTGCCTGAGAAAAGCAGCCAACCTAACCACACGAGATCAAGTGAATAATGAAACTATCAGGCAAATTGTGGAAACGACACCTTGTACTAGATTCAACGAGAAGCAGCAGATCAAGTGGTTTGGCCATCTCGTCAGAATGCAGCAAGACCAAATACCATCACAAGCACTATATCTCAGAAGATCAGCTACAAGAGGACGGCCGCGGAAAACATTGGATCGACAACATTAAGGACGCTCTACGCCTTCGCGGCATGACAATAGCCAGTGGCAGCCAACGTGCACTGAATCGCATATTATTCCTCCCCACGGCGCTTAACGTCAGAAGTGGTTTATGATGATGATGATGATGACTAAGAAATGGATTTAGACATATCTGTTCCGGAAACCGTATGTCTAGGTTCATGTTTTTAAAAAATGCAAAAAAGTCGACTGGGAATTTGACAAAAACGCAAACAACGACAAGAAAACACTTCAAAAAACTTATGTTACATTCTTTTTAGATCACCTACCATCTGGCTTTTGTTTGTTCTCGGTGTATGTGTTGCCAGTAGTGTTATGTAGTAAGCAATGTCACTGTTGGAACAACGTAAATGTAGTAAATAAAGTAATTATAAAATATTGTATTTTTCACCTTACTCTTTTGGTACCAAACCGAGTGAGCCACGGCCAGGAGTTTTTTTTTTTTAAATTTTAGCATCAGATTCAGAGAAACAAGGGGTGGTAGTGGTGGATTTTTGAAATGTCACGAATTTAACAGTGTTAATAGACCATTAAAAACAGGCATACACCTACAGCTGCTGTACTGTCAGTCATCCTGAAGAAGCTCCTTTGCAGAACGTCCTCTTCTTACCACACCTGAGACTTGGTCTCTCACCAGCTCTCCCACCTGACCCCCTGCACTACTTATAGTATACGATACCCAAGGTGTCACTTATTTACTGTCTGTCTTCGTGCTGGTTGGCCTTTGTCTTTCTTAACTGACACATGCTGTAGAAAGATTATCAGAATTCCATGGGGAAAAAAAGAAAATAAATAATGACATCCTAAAAGATCTAAACATTGAGGTAGATTAGTCTGATTAGCAAATAAACAACATTTTATCTCGAAAACTGAAATATTTTGGCCATATCAAGCACCACGGCAGGTTGTAAAAAACAGTAGCAAACGACATGGTACCAGGAAGGAGGGGCATAGGCCAACAAGCATAGAAATGGACACAGGATATAAGTGACTCCTTGCATATGAAAGTACATAAGGGGGAAGAGCTGGCAAGAGACCAAATTTAGTTCAGGCAGATTGTAGTAAGTGCATCGAAAGAACATGATGGTGGTGATGATGTTAGATTAAAGTTGGCAGTGATAAAAACATAACTAAAGAACATTTTTGGGTGAGTTAATATTATGTATTAATTTTTGATTTTCTGGAAAAAATCCTTTTAAAAATTTTAAATACCATGCAGGTAACTAAGAAATTATGAAGTTTTATTTATCTACAGGTTAACTTTTCTCCCAAAATATTTAAAGATTTGTAAAGGGGTAATCCATAAACTTGAATATAAATATATATATATAGCAATTGACTCATTCCATGACCACCGTCCCTGAGGCTTATGGCGAAAATATGACATCAACTTAGCTTTCAAAAAGTAAATTGAGGTCATAAACCACCCCTCCCCCCACTAACCCTGGTGCTATTTTTAGTTATGAAGTCATATCCTGACCTGTTGAAGCTATTAAATGTTGCACAGGTGCACATATGAGCAGTGGAATTTAACTACGCTTTTCAAGAACAAGTCACTGCAAATATGGCATATATCAACATTTATGGGACTGTGTTACAACCGGAAGTGACTAGATTTAGCCTTCTCAGGTGATAAGGTTAAGTAGTGGGAGTCTGTTGTTTTTATCTTCAAAAATAGGTGCTGGAATCCATAGAGGAAATTACAATCTGTACTCTAGATACGGTATATATATATATATATTTTTTTTTTTTAAACAATTCTTTTTTCTTAATAGTTACAGAATGCCATATCCAGTGTGCCAGTAAGAATTGGATGCAGTATTTGACATGGAGCCAGATAATTTTGCTGAAGATGCAGGTGATGCGGCCAGTGACAACAACAGCAATATTGTGGACATTGGTGAGCCTCGACTGTGGAAAAGTTACTGGGAAGAAGATGAGGATGATGTGATTGATTTTACAGAAGAAGAGGTTAAAAGTAAGTGCTCATGTTCTGTGTCTTTGAAGCTTTCTTTTTTTAATGTTAGTCCAGTTGATTCCCCATTTCACCCCAAAAACCAGTGGGAAAAAAGGAAACGAAGGGCCATTTTTAATGTTATAAAGGCTTTAAAAATGTAATTTTTTTTCAACACTAAAACCCACCTTAAATGATCTCTCTTCTGCCCTTTATCACCCAGTGGAGCTTAGGCACTAAATCAAGTCATCCAGTCTTTTAAATACAACATGTGACTAGCACAATATCCAGTTTCGTCCTTTTTAGGACGACATTTTTTGTTTTTTGAAGCCCCACCCTGGCTTTTGCAAGGGGCTGCAATAAATATGGCCAATTGTCTGAACGCGGTTTCTGGGACCTCTCCACGGCGATCCTCATCCACATGGTGGCACTTTGTGTCATCGGGTGTTTATTGCTTGTGTGATGTCCTGGTGGGGTAGAAAGTCAGTCAGTCAGTCAACATGTGACTGCTCTTTATCACCCAGTGGAGCTTAAGTACTCAATCAAGTCATCCAGTCTTTTTTAATACAACATGTGACTTTTTATCCTCCTGTGTTTTTATCTTTACTTTCTAGTTCCTTTCTCTGTGTATTCTTTTGTCTACCCTTATTTCTTTGCCTCTGTGGATTCCAGTTTAAAACCCTTCTAGTTATATTATATTGTTCTCAGATTTTTTTAGTTATATTGTTCTCAGATTTTCTCAACTTTTTTCCTATCCAGTGCTGTTTCTGATCCTGCAGCAATGTCAGTTTAGCGTCTGAGTATTTGTAACAGACAACAATGCCAGATTATAGTATCATGGGGCAAAAAAAGAATAAATTACTGCCATAAACTGCTGATAGTGTAAAACTTCATGCAATTAAAACAGATATTACAATTCAATTGATTGATTGATTAAATGGGTTGGGGATGAGGAGGGAAAGGGGGAGGGAGCAGTTAAAAGGGGTGATACCAAACAAGAACACTGCAGAAAGCCAATGAAGAAGTAAACCAACATACAACTGATGTCAGTTTGCTTCCCGCACAAGGATTTACTGAGGAGGGGATCCAAGCACTTATGGACTGAATGGTTCCGTGGGCATGGGGATGATCTGTTAACTTTAGTTAACTAACTAATAACTGGAAAAGATATTATTGCAATCTGGCTATATCCTTAAAAAAAATACATTTCTATTCAGAACTGCTGTTGGTGCAACAATCAGGAGAGAATGCTTCAGAAACAAAAGGCAACTATATAATAAGCAAGTTAGTCCCCACATGGGTTCTGGGTAGTCAAGGTAGAATAGACATACTGTTTTTTAACAAGCACATTATAAAAGGTGACAGACTAAAGGTTTGCCGAAAATTAGTCAAAGGTACAGATATCAAAGCATACCTGTTAACTAGAGTACACTGTGCCCACCACTTCTTTAAACAGTAAGCGAAGAAAAACTTTGAAACAAAAATACCAGAGACATTGGCAGTTAAAGGACCTAACTGAAAGATGTAAACGAAAATAAAAATAGCCTTAGATGAGCTATTGGCAATATGCTGTCAACGAAGGGTGAAAAGGGGAGAATTAATTGTACTTGTGTCATCTACCTGTAAAGCTACCTTAAAGAGGAACGTGAAGAAAGTAAAGCATCTTTTCTTCACACCGTAGGCACTTTAGGCATGTTGCCAGACCTGTAAAAACCAGGTAGCACTCAATAGATAATATGGTCAGCATTGTGCTGGCCACCTTTACTTCCCATGATATTACTTGCTACCCATTTTAGGTTAGGTTGACCTGGGAGCCAAGGTTACTTTTAAAAAGAAAAAAGTCAAATTTAAGGTGGACTTGAGTTAATACAGCAGGAAAATTGGGGGCAAGAGTAAGAGGGAGGGAAAAACTAAGAGAAGATCTTATAGTCTGGTAACATGGGATGAAGGAAGATGTGTATCAGAAACTATCTACAGTAAACAGATCAGAAGGCTGTGAGGAGAAATAATACCAGCACCACACATCATGTTCTTTAACCCACTGACTACCAAGTCTGTTAACCCTTGCACTTTCCCAGATACCACATGTTTTAGTGAATACTAAACAATTGCCATTGTTTCACAACTGTTTAACATAAACTTATAATTTTTGTACCAAATTGAAGGGAAAACACATTTCAAGAACAAAATCTGTGTAATCTTGTTTGACTTCTTCAACATATGTCTGTAGATTGGTGCAAAAAAGGCAGTCAACAAAAAACAAACAAAAAAATTCTGACAGCAATATTAATAATAAAAATTTCATAGCTTCACAACTGTTTAACAAAAACTCATAATATTTTGCATCATTTTTGCACCACATTAAATGGAGAATAAATAAACAGCAACAACAACCCCCCAAAAAGTGTGTGGGGGGGGGGGGGGGTGAATTAATCTTAGATAAGAGCTCTGCCTAACTGTGAAATAAATTCAGCAGTGGCTGTTTGCCATTTTTGCACCAAGAACTTCTGAAACACTAAGACTGAATGTCAAGCTCATAAAGAACAGAAAATGCATCCTGGTAAACATCGAGGATTGCATTGTGAAACGATTTTCATTACATTCTAAGCCACAGAGCAGTAATGTACACAATCTACACCGGCAGATACATCTAACAATACACACCTGAGCACATACATAAAACAGTTTATACAACTGATGTAACTGTTATAAGCAAAACATTGTCTTAAATTTTCGATAGTGTTTTTGATGGCAATTCTTAAAAATTCTCAAAATCAGTCATCAAACTGATCAGAAATATCTTCATCTCCACTTTCTGAATTAAAACAATGATGACAATATCCTATTGCATCAGAAACATTCTGCAAACTGTTCCACTACACTGACCCTAACGATCAGCCCCACTATCAAAACCCTTAAAGAAACGTAGAGAAATGAATTAACTAACGGCTTCATTTATTACAAAAGTCACAACTTAAACAGGTGGTAAGTGTCCAAAGTTACGATTTCAGGGGGAGTGCGATTATGATAGCCAGGCATAAATGTCAGCTGATCGCATAACATGCTGCAATCATGGTAGTCATTGAGTTAAGAAGAACACTGGAGCAGGGTTTTTGCTATGGGTAGCTTTCTATACATTTTATTACATTCACTATTTCATATCCATAAAATATTGACATTAGTTCTGGTCATTGTTGTGTTCTGTTTTAGATGATCCTGCAAAGAGAATTCTATGGGCAGCAGAAAATAACCATTTGGAGATTGTCAGTGAACTGTTGACCTCTGACCCTGGGCTGGTACACTCAAAAGATACTGACCTCTACACGCCACTACACAGAGCTTCATACAACAACCACGAGGAGATGGCGAAGGTCAGTTGTGGCTACTTTACTCACATGTAGCAAACTGTGCAGATGTTATTTGATTCTTCATTTCTGTTGAAATTATGAGGGAAAGTCAATAAGTGAGTTACAAATGGTTGTTTGAAATAATCTAAAATGATAACAACTTGAAAAACGTTTATTTTGTCACATACACTGTCCCTTTATTTTTCAACATAATTTCCACCACCATTGATGCACTTGTTCCATTATTTTATCATTCTCCCAAACCTGCGGCAAAAAAGTAGTTAAACCATTTTTAAGGTGATTGGTACATTTGATATCCCTGTTACTTGTGATTTTTTTTTTTTTTCACTTTCTATTGACTGCAAGTAATCTTCAATATATTTGCGGTCAGAACAGCGTCTTCATTATGTTGTAAATTGTATTGTCTGCCTGTTGCAAAAACAATGAAGATCCAACCTACAGATTACTTTTTAAAACAAGTGAAAAACTTGAAGCATAATATTACTGATTAGCAACCTAAAAGACAAGATTAAGAATAGATGTAATAAAGCAAACTAACTTATGGCACAATATTGAAAAAGAAAAAAAAAACGTATCCGTAAATGCCAGAAAGAACGCTCTAAAACAATTTTTTTTTTAAAATTACTCTATATTTATAACTATACTGCCAGAGTTGGACAGTGACAGACAAAAAAAATTAAATTTGTCCCTGAGACAGGATTCCTGAAAAGAGCATAAAGTAAATTGAGGAGGGTGATCATAGGTGATTAATGAGGAAGAAAGTGTGGATAATGGCAGCGCTAGATTTCATTAGAAAGCAAAATATTCAGTTGTCTGCCAACAGACTTGAATATATTGAGCAATAATGTCTAGACCGGGTAAAGAGAATTTTAGAGGGCGACCATGAAAATCATTGGACAGAGAATAAGAGTCTCTGAGGGCCCCAGTATATGAAGCAAACAGACCTGAACTTTCCTGCTATGGATAATTCAACACAAGGGACAAGAAAAATGCTGCTGAAATCCCAAGCAGTCTGCATGTGTTTTGCTGAATCAATATCCAGTTACATGTAAGCAACAGAAGTGAAATGTTAGTATTGAACTTGCACACAGCACTGGTGTCTTGCTTGGGTAGGGAAAAGAGAATACCCTTATGGTGCAGATACTTTAGTACTGTCTAGACCAGCAGTTCTCAACGTAGGACCTTTTTGGGGGTTGAATGACACATTCACAGTGGCCGCCTGACTGTTGGAAAAGACATATTCATTGAAGTTATGAAGTAGCAACAAAAATAATTTTATGGTTGGTGGTCACCACAACATGAGAAACTGTATTTAAAGGGTCGTAAATTAGCAAGGTTTGGTTAATACACCAAACCTCGCAAATGCTGTGACCCTTAAATTAGCAAGGCTGAGAGCCACTGGTCCAGCCGAATTGAGCCAGCCACGAGACACATCGGTCATTCGAGCGCAGACAGCCCAGTCGTCAGCACCTCTCGTCTTCCGCTCGATCACTAACTCCTCATTTGTAGCCTGATTCTCTATAACTAGATACTTGACACCAATTCGCTTGATATTCGGCTGAGTCAGTCTCGACTAGTTATCGTACATTCGGCGTTGCGGGGGGCTTTGGCAGCCCGTTGTACGCACCATTTTGCAACACGATTGTCTAGTGAACTGTTAAGAAAGCACACTTGGTGTCCTTTCAGGATACTCAACAGGTCTTGCCGACTCTTCAGGGATCTAGCTCCCGATAGCAGCCTGATCAATACCGCTTTACCAGTCACAGCCACATCAATTATGGCCCGTGGCAAAACCAGCCAGAAGAAGCTGAGCCAGCGCCGAGATACCAGATCGATGCCGGCTAACCAGGAGGAAGCACCTGTTGTCGCACCAGCCCTAACGGTGCAGACGATGCCAACACCAATTGACGCTCCTGTAGAGACGGCAGCCTCGCTCACCCGGACGATGCCGACTATAGATGAAGCCCCTGTCGAGGCACCTTCACCAGACCAGATGCTACCAGTCACTATCGCTGCCACAGTAGAACGGCTAAGAACCACCGACACCAGCAGCATGCATGGATCCCTCTGCCCAGGAATTCTGCAGTGTTCACGCTGTAACAAGGCGTGGCACTCTGCCTCGTCATGCCGCAGCAGCCCGTCGTGTCGATACTGTTCCGGACCAAATTTATTCAAGGAATGCCCCCTGGCGAAAGTGGACCCGGACTTCAAGATGCCTAACACCAATAGAAAGTGCTCTAATTGTTCAGGGAGCCACAGCGCCAAGTACCAGGGATGTCCCTACCTCAAGGAAATCAAAAGAGCTATGGCAAATACCACCACAGAGCCAAAACGAAGATTCCAGGCGCCCAGCTCGACTGTTGAATCACCCACGATCAACAATGACATCTCGCTTATGAGGGACGAAATCAAAACCATCGTGAGGAAAACGCAAAAATCAAAGCACTGAGGATTCAGAAAAGAGATGAGATGACAGACCTGAGAAGTATCCTGCAGTCATCACCTGAAACCCAGAGGAGACTGGAGAAAGACAACGCAGAAATGATGGCTTTCAAAACCGAATAGATGTCATTGCTAACTGACCTCAAAAAGATGAAAGAAGCGAATGCCGAAATCACCAAAGAACTGCAAGGCAACCAGATGCGCCTATCATCCGAGATCACCACAATCAAGAAAGAAACGATAGAAATCAGAGCAGAGCTAACCAAGTCAAATGAAGAATACGCCAAACTGAGCACTGCACTTCAAGCCACAAACAAGGTGATAGACGCTAGAGAAAACGCAAAGAAAGAAAAAAAAACAGAAAAAGGCAGATCTACAAAAAACACTCGAGACATGGAGAAGCAGAGAAGCAATGCATACAAGACATGATTATCCTCAAGGAATGCCTGGAAGGTGACTTCACAATAGTCAACATTGAAGTTAAGCATCTCAAGGAGGTCACCCGACAACTTCAACTTGAAAGCATAAGAAACAGCAAAGCGAAAATAGCAGTCAACTCAAACCAACCCCACGTGGCACAGTAAGCTCGATAAAACAACCAATGGAAACCACGCAAGCCGCCATGACAGCACACCAAACCAGCTCACCGGCACGAAAAAACACCGCAGCTCGAAACAAGCCTGGCATGATGTCTACCACTAAATTCACTCCCGTCCATACCCGATGCAGGCCGCCCCAGGCAAATTCTACTAGTCCTTTTCAGGACTAGTAGGCTTCCACTCCCAATCACAGCCAGTATCGCAGAAACACGCAAGGAAACCACTTCAAGACGTGAACCCACGTCGCAACAGAAAAAAACACTATTGGAAATCCCAAGCAAGTAAACGCAGTCCCAACATAGCTGCCGCTCACTTTTGGGGCTGGTTAGGGAGACTAGAACTTCTGTTGTTTTTTTTTCTAACAAACTGCAACTGGCCACTGGTCTAGAGGAAGTCTCTACACAAACCCCAGTCAATTCATGCAAGTCTTATCAAGGTATGGAAGCTGCGTAGTGTATTGACTAGATGTTTGCCTGCCAGCCCAAAGGTCTAGGGTTCAAATCTGCATCAAGGTGAATTTTTTTTTTTTTTAAACTGACCTTTGTTACCAGATCAACTCAGGCTAAAGTGGGCATTGCGTAATGTACAGGGAAGCAAAAGCGGCCTTCATAATGTTGATCACATCCCTTATTAAATGCTGATTGGTCTGTAAACATATAGGTGTGGCACTTTGGGACTGAAGTGCCTAAGGCGTGAAAAGGGTCCTTTACTTTGACTTTACTTTTTCAAAGTCTGGACAACCTAAATGCAAAATCATGAGACTCACAGTGGTACATTCACTTCACAACCAACCCTGAAAATATATAATTTTGAGAGAATATTTCAATAATGAGGTATGATTTCTTATTTTATCCTCAGCTGCTCTTGTCTAACGGAGCAGATGTGGCAAGTAAGACTGCTGATGGGTGGCAACCTTTACACAGTGCATCCCGATGGAATTCGGTGGAGACCGCCCAGGTTCTCATCAACTGTGGTGCTGATGTGAATGCGAGAACCAATGGCGGACTCACACCATTACACATGGCAGCATCTGAACCAGAGAATGAACAGATGCTGGAGCTGCTGCTGACTGACCCCTGTATCGACACCAACATTAGGTCGAGAGCAGGAGAAACTGCCAAGGATATCTGTCAGAGATGCAGTCCACACTACAAACTGTTTGACTTGTTAGAAGATAATGTCACTGAATTGAATGAGGAATTATAATTTTTTTTTTTTTTTTTTTTCTGTTTGAAGTACAATAAGTTTGCTGCAGAAATTTTGCTAATAAAACATTCACAAATTTGGTCAGGTACCATTGTCTTTCATGCACTGTTTTGGCTAAAGTTTGCTAATAGAAATGTTTTAAGTATCAAAATAAACATAGATTGTTCACAGAATATGATAAAACAAGATGTTTGTTTATTTAACTTTGTTAAGAAAATGTTTATTCTATGTTTCAGGTAAGTGTAGTGCACTGTTATCAGATAAGTCCATTTGTGAGTCTTAAGAATGTAAAGCTCCTGCAATACAATATAGGCAAACTACAGGCATAACTCAGCCACTGTCTTTATAAATGAAGATGGAAATGTATCAAATGATGTACAGTAAAACGTGAAGAGAAAGGTTAAAACAGTGTGTAAACTTCCATTCTGTTTATATGTGTAAGGTATCACAAGCAATGATAGCTTAAGACTCTAATGTCAGATTGCTTAATCTGAGAACTATGCAATTGTTAAACACTTAATTTGATATAAATATTAACAAATGGGAGTCAGAGAGCATTTGGTGATCACTAAAGAGAAAATGAGGCCAGTTTGGCCATTGGCACTGCAGTGGACAACCAGATGTAGGGATTAGTGGAAGACAAGCGTCACATTTATAGAGGCCTGTGACCTCATTTAAAAACCAGTGGCAGAGAGAACGAAAAAAAAAGAAGATGACTTTAAATGATGCACATAAACTCTTAGAATACAATTAATCAAGAAGAGGAAAAATTTGAAGATTCTACACAATCTGAATATCGAAGTAAACTGATCGAGCAATATATCTCAGAAACTGAATTACCTTGGTAATATAAAATACCACAGTGGCTATGAAAGAACATTCAGTGTAAGGCATGGTTATCGGCGGAAGAGGCAGGGACCAGCCAGTATGACGGTGGATATTGTGGATACCATGTGCATCAGGTATGGGACCTGGCAAGCTTTCCTTTTGGCTATGAGGAAGGCAATATTAGCTGCATCATCAGTGTCATTTTTGCATATGTTTTTTTCTTCTTTTTTCTTTATATATTCTTAGTGGTGTTTTCCTATTGACTGTTAAATTCATACCAGAAATTTACTTTGTATTCAATCATCAAGTTTTTCTTAGCAGTGTGCTACAGAGTTTTACTTTTGACTTCTACATCCAAGTGAGAAAGCTACATTATATCAGTAAACTTCTTAGTTTGAACTCTAGACAAACAGTAGTTATAGAAAATATGCCACTTAAAATTTAACATTAAGGTAAATAGGATAATTATGAAGCAGTTCGATACATTCAAGTTCTTGGGTACCCTGTTAACAGTAAAGGAACAATATATGAATGAAGTTAAGTGTAGAATAGCTCTAGCAAAGGCAGCATTTCACAAAATGAAGAATATTCTATGCAATCTTTGTCAGTTGATGTGCAGAAGAGAGTTCTTAAGCTGCAAACAGTTCCAGTCTTGACTGTCGGAAGTGAATCATGAATATTAAGTTAATTAGTGAACAATTACAGGAAAGCAGCAGAGATATGGTTTTTTTGACCTATGATATTAATACCATGGACAAATAAAAAGTAAACTGAAAATTCTTAAAAGAAATTAACACCTTTTCCCCGTAAAAAATCTTTTAAAAAAATGGCATTTAAAAAATGTCATTGTGTATTAGAACCCAGGAGTTCAAATCAGCAGGCAAAGTGTCAAGCCATGGCTCCCTAACTTGTGAATACTGCCATAACAACAGCAGTCACACTGTTTTAGTTTTCTTCTGTTTTTACATACAACACAAGTGTTTTTAATATTCATTGCATGTAGGTTCTCTGTGTGTGTTCCAGAGCCCCTTATGGGGTAAAAAGTGAAGAGACCCACTGAACTTGTAACTTTTTGTAAAAGACAACTACTAAAATCCAATGTGTTGGGCTAAAAAGCCTGGATATCACAACCTAGCTGTAAACCAGTCTTCCTGTTTTATTACCCTGTCATTAATTGTTACTTTTGGTATTGAAGAAAGAAAGAACCTGATGAAGAAGTCTCACCTCTGTTGTTGGCATCTGGTTTCATAAACCTTGAGATGAGCTGTCATTGCATGCGCTTGGTATTTTATTATTTTTTTAATATTATAGTTACTTTATTATTATTTATTTTATGTTAGTTTTGGCTGATAGACTTTGGTGCCTTTTGATTTCAATGTCTGTGACTCAGCAAGCCAACAAGCTAGGGGCTTTTTAATTGTGCTCACATAATCTGTTCTATGGATGGCAGTGGCTTCTTTTTTGGAGTCTTTACTTGCCACCAGAGTTTTTAATTTCATTTATTTTTAGATTGATAGTAGAGGCTTTTTCATTCATTTCAACATTTTGGCCTAGATGTCTTTGAAGCCTTCACTAGGTTTGTTTTGAGTAGATGTCAGTTTTTGAGTTGTGATTCATTTATTCTTGACTTCTGACAATTTATGATTTTATGCTAATGATTTGCTCCAGTTAGAGGGAAGGAGAGGCAGAAAGAGAGAGAAGATATTAGTGTGGCATCTGAGAGAGATGTTGTTATTGTGTCATCTGAGAGAGAAGATGTTAGTTTGGCATCTGAGAGAGAAGATGTTAGTGTCATCTAAGAGAGAAGATGTTAGTGTGTCATCTGAGAGAGCAGATGTTAGTGTGGCATCTGAGAGAGAAGATGTTAGTGTGGCATCTGAGAGAGAAGATGTAAGTGTCATCTAAGAGAGAGGATGTTAGTGTGTCATCTGAGAGAGCAGATGTTAGTGTTGCATCTGAGAGAGAAGATGTTAGTGTGGCATCTGAGAGAGAAGATGTTAGTGTAGCATCTGAGAGAGCAGATGTTAGTGTGGCATCTGTGAGAGAAGATGTTAGTGTGGCTTCTGAGAGAGAAGATGTTAGTGTGGCATCTGTGAGAGAAGATGTTAGTGTGGCTTCTGAGATAGCAGATGTTAGTGTAGCATCTGAGAGAGAAGATGTTAGTATGACATCTGAAAGAGAAGATGTTAGTGTGGCATCTGAGAGAGAAGATGTTAGTGTGGCTTCTGTGAGAGAAGATGTTAGTGTGGCTTCTGTGAGAGAAGATGTTAGTGTGGCTTCTGAGAGAGAAGATATTAGTGTGGCTTCTGGGAGAGAAGATGTTAGTGTGGCATCTGAGAGAGAAGATGTTAGTGTGGCATCTGAGAGAGAAGATGTTAGTGTGGCATCTGAGAGAGAAGATGTTAGTGTGGCTTCTGAGAGAGAAGATGTTAGTGTGGCATCTGAGAGAGCAGATGTTAGTGTGGCATCTCAGAGAGAAGATGTTAGTGTGGCTTCTGAGAGAGTGAAAATGTTAGTGTGGCATCTAAGAGAGTGAAGATTTTAGTGTGGCGTCTAAGAGAGAAGATGTTAATGTGGCATTTGAGAGAGAAGATGTTAGTGTCATCTGAGAGAGATGTTAGTGTGTCATCTGAGAGAGCAGATGTTAGTGTGGCATATGAGAGAGCAGATGTTACTGTGGCATCTAAGAGAGTGAAGATGTTAGTGTGGCATCTGAGAGAGAAGATGTTATTGTGTTACCTGAGAGAGAAGATGTTAGTGTGGCATCTGAGAGAGAAGATGTTAGTGTGGCATCTGAGAGAGCAGATGTTAGTGTGGCATCTGAGAGAGCAGATGTTAGTGTGGCATCTGAGGGAGAAGATTTTAGTGTGGCATCTGAGGGAGAAGATGTTAGTGTGGCATCTGAGGGAGAAGATGTTAGTGTGTCATCATGACAGAGAAAGAAATAATCTAATAAAAATGTCTGGCAGTACACGAGACATATGGCTGTGAGCAGACTTGATCATGATTTACTAATGGCACACTGCATAGACTGCAACAAGACATGGCTGACTTCAGTAAGGTTCATAGTGCTGTCTTTCTTGTGTGGGTCCTGGGGCCTCAATTTTGTAGAAAATGTATAGATCCAATGCACTCTCCCCTCACCTCCTTTTCCCCTCATTTCGAGACCCAGCAATCTGCAAACAAATAAGCTAGATTTGTATGTGTATGCACATAAAACTCAAGTTCTGGAACAAGACAAAGGTATAGAAATGGATGAACAAGCAGAATTTTCCACCAGTTTACAACTGGTGAACAGAAGAAGAGAAAATAATCTTGTCTGAAACTACGTGGTAAAGATACTTTTGCCGCTTTCAGACCATAAATAAATTTTGCATTGAGTTGGATTTGAGCCAGGATCATCAACCAACAGATGAGTTTACTTGCCGCTACACTTTCAGTGCACACTATATTTAATGTATTTAACAAATTTTGATCTTGGATATCTTATATAAAAATAAGTGTCTTTAATGTTGTCGATCCATATTTTCCGCGGCCGTCCTCGTGCTCTTGTAGTTGATCGTCTGAGATGTAGTACTAGTGATGGTATTTCATCTTGCTGCATTCTAACGCAATAAACAAGTTATGCTTCTAATTTAAAATCCTAATGGGTTTCCTGTTGAATGAATATATATATGTAATATAATTAATATTGCAGTTATCACCATGTGAGATGCTGCCGAGCATATCTGGTCATGGTTCGTGGTCTAGCGGCTAGACGCTTGCCTGCGGATCACTAGATCCTGGCTTTGGGTCCTGACGGAGCTGGACTTTTTTTTGTATAAAATGACCTTGGCTCCCAGGTTGACCCAGCCTTCAGTGGGTACCAGGTATAGTCCGTGGGAAGTAAAGGTGGTGGACGTGATGTTGGCCACATCAACCACCCAGTACCAATTGGTCTATAAAATGTAGGGCTAGCCCTATATGCCCAGTATACCTGAAGGCGTGGAAAAGGGACCTTTACACTCAAGAAGTGAGGAAACAAATTCAATATAAACTACAGACCAAATTTAGTTCATTGAATGATATTTCAAGATTTTAATGAAAGTGAAAACACTGATGGCCTCCACTAGAAAGGCTGCAGAAACAGTATCCTGCATCTTAGGAAATGGATGACTGACGGTATCTTTAAA